GCCCCCTGAGCCTCCTTTGCTCCAGACTGAGCCCCTTCCCAGCTCCCTCAGCCTCTCCTGGGGCTCCAGCCCCTTCCCCAGCTCCATTCCCTTCCCTGGACATGCTCCAATGTCCTTCTTGTCACAATGAGCCTAAAAACTGAGCACAGCCATTACACATGGAATGAATAAAGATCCCATATAATGAGAATTTTCCATGCTAAAGACAGGAACAGCTGTCAGACCATCCCTGTGCACTTCTCTCTCCTCACTCTAGATGTGATCCAGCTTGTCCTCAGACAAAATGCCCTCAGACACATCAGGCACAAACACGCAGGGAGAACAGAAAGCACTTGAGGCAGCACAGCAGTGACGTGCCTCAGTGCCAAGCTGTTTCCTTTGCATCCCTAATTCCTTTCATACTCTTTTCAGCTCTTTCAAAACATCTCTGAGCCCCACAGTGACTCCCCAGCAGAACATCTGCCCCCTTTAAAGCTCCCTGAGCTGCAGCAGGAATTGAGAACCCCTGCAGATTTCTGTCATCAGTAGAAACTACTCAAGGATCCCAGGCTGGGACACGTCTAGACAAGAGGAGGAGAATTTGCACAACAGTCTGGGCTGAGAGAGGAGCTGGGGACAAACAGGGAGCAGCAGGAGGCATGTGCAAGGTGGCATGATATGACATGGCTGACAGCTGAGCAGGACCATCCCTGACGGCCCTGATCAGGATCCCTTCACAGGAAAGGTGAGACCAGGGTGGTTCCCCAAGGTCCCCATTCCCTGAGTGCAGCCAGGGATGGCTGGGGAACATCCCAGTGTATCCCAGTGTATCCCCAGAGCATCTCAGTGCATCCCAGAGCATCCCAGTGCATCCCAGTACATCCCAGAGCATCTCAGTGCATCCCAGAGCATCCCAGTGCATCCCAGTATATCCCAGTGCATCCCAGTGCATCCCAGTACATCCCAGAGCATCCCAGTCCATTTCAGTGTATCCCAGTACATCCCAGTGCATCCCAGTATATCCCAGTGCATCCCAGGGTATCCCAGTACATCCCAGTGCATCCCAGTCCATCCCAGTGCATCCCAGTGCATCCCAGTACATCCCAGTCCATTTCAGTGTATCCCAGTCCATCCCAGTGCATCCCAGTCCATCCCAGTACATCCCAGTGTATCCCAGTAAATCCCAGTGCATCCCAGAGCATCCCAGAGCTGGGTTTCTCCTGGCAGCTCCAGAGTTTCTTTTTGGAAAGGTGAGGCAGGAGTCACCAAGCCAAGCAGGTTCGTTTGGGCCTGGCAATTCCATTATGGTGCAGGGAGGTCCTGAGGTCCTGCTTTGAGCACTAAATGGTGCCTGTCCCATGTATGTGACAGCCCAGGATCACTTTTTGCCCTTTGTTTTTAAAGACCCAGTATGGATATGTAAAAACACCCATAAATATGGGTATCAAAATACTCATATGTAAAAATTCCAAAATGCCAAAATACCCATGTGTAAAAATTCCAAAATGCCAAAATACCCATATGTAAAAATTCCCCCAGCCCAGTTTGGGGAGAAAAAAAGATGGGAGTGAATCTCTCCCAGTGCTCCTCTCTTTTTTCTCCCCCCACCCAATAAATCCATATATGGGAATGTTCTTTTTCTGGTTTTTTTTTCTTTCTTCTGCTGAGTCCCCTTCTGGCAAGTACCATGCTCCTCTTTGCCAGGCACACGTGTCTGCACAGGAAAGAAGAAATTTCTCCTTCCTCTCTTGGGATCTTTAAGAGCAAATTCTCAGCTCAGCCTCAGTGCCAAAGGCAGAGCATCAGCCTGTTCCCAGCTCATCTCAAGAGGCTCCAGCTGCTCATCCTCTTCCAGCCAAAGATTTGCAGGGCACTGCTGCAAGAAGGCTGAGGCCAATAAAAGTTCTTACAATCTGTTGTAACTCAGAGCTGGCTCCCCTGGAAATCCTTGGCAGATAAAATAAAAATAAACTCCTGGCGTTCCCTGCAGATATCTGTGTCCGTCTGCTGGCAAGGCTCATGCCTTGAATATATTTTCAGCTTTTTGTAGCACTCACAGTGAAGAGAAAATTAACTTTGACACTCGTGGTCAAAATATTAGTACTGGGCTTTTTTTAGTATTTTGCCCTAGAATATGCAACTGGGACCCCAGAGGGAAAAAAAAAAGTTAAAAAATCACTTGTCTACACAGCACTTCAGAGAAATATGAGTTTTATTAGAGGATAAATGGAGCCACACCTACCCTGAAATGAGATCTGGGCTCTGCAAAAGCAGAGAGCAATCCTTGTTCCCAAGGTTTTACAACCTAAATGAAAACAAACAGTGAATTAAGGAAGGAAACAGAGTCAGTCACTTGTCTAAGGTCTGACAGGAGCGGTGTGGTTTGGCTGGGATTGCCAGCACGGAAAGTGCACAGAAAGTACAGAGACTTTGGTGCTTTACAAAGCTCTGCTGGGTGAGAAGCTGGGCAGGAACCAGCCCAGAACCCTCTGAGCCCTGGGCTGAGCCCAGCGTGGGCATCAGGGCAGGGGGGATTGTGCCCCTGTGCCTGTGCCCAGGTGAGACCCCACCTGCAGAGCTGCCCCAGCCCTGCCCAGCACAGGGAGGAGCTGGAGCTGCTGCAGAGATCCAGGGGAGGCTCCAGGGGGATCAGAGGATGGAGCAGCTCTGCTGGGAGGAGAGGCTGGGACAGCTGGGATTGTGCACCTGGAGAGGAGAAGCTTTGGGGGGACCTCAGGGTGGCCTTGCAGGGCCTGGAGAGGCCAACAGGAAAGATGGAGAGAGACTGTCCAAGGGCCTGGAGTGCCAGCACAAGGGGGAATGGCTTCAAACTCAGAGAGAGAAGGTTTAGATGGGATATTGGGAAGGAATTCTCCCCTGTGAGGGTGGGCAGGCCCTGGCACAGTGTTGCAGATATCTTTTATGAAAAATCCTTTCCTTAGGATTTGTCCTCCTGAGAAGCCGGGAGGCCTCAGGAACAAAATGTAAACAATGATTATCTGCTGCTGTGGAATGCAACAGGGGCATCTGTGATTGGGGCAAACATAACAGTCCGTGTTAGGTGTTTGTAATTAATGGCCAATCACAGTCAGCTGGCTTGGACAGAGAGTCTGAGCCACAAACCTTTGTTATCATTCTTTGCTGTTCTATTCTTAGCCAGCCTTCTGATGAAATCCTTTCTTCTATTTTTTTAGTATAGTTTTAATATAATGTATATCATAAAATAATAAATCAAAGCCTTCTGAAACATGGAGTCAGATCCTCATCTCTTCCCTCAACCTGAGACCCCTGTGAACACAATCACAGCACAGGGTGCCCAGAGCAGCTGTGGCTGCCCTTGGATCCCTGGCAGTGCCAAGGCCAGGCTGGAGCACTGGGACAGTGGGAGGTGTCCCTGCCCATGGCAGGTGTGGAACCAAGGGACCTTTAAGATCTCTTCCAACCCAAACCATTCCAGAATTCTCTCTCATCTCCCTAAACCATCCTGCTTTTCACTATTTCCTGCTTACTCTTTCAAACTTTCTCTTTCCTTGGTCTCTTCCCTCTCTGCTCTGCTGGCAAGGATCCTGTTCTTGCTGCTGGCAGCCTCAGCCTCGCTGACCAAACCACATGTTCTGCTCAGAGCAGGACTTGGAGCTCTCCATAACATCAAGAGCTGCACCCAGCTATTGCAATAGGAAGACTTTTTTTTCCGTGTCATTGAAGTGAGAAGAACTGGCTGAATTTTTATGAGGAAAAGGGATGTTGCAGACAGCCTGGGACATGAGAAAATAGTTTTCTTTCCTTGATCTTATTTTTTAAGAGCTCAAATATGCAAAGGTTTTTGTGGGGAGGAACCAAGTCTCTGTCACTAAAAAAAGTGTTGAAGTTTCCAGCCTGTTTCTCTACCCAGGGAAAAAGGAGAAGTTCCTGCACATCACTGTGTGTGCACATACACCTCAAAGAGAGTTTCTGTTTTTATGAGAACTTTCCTGGGGACAAAAAAAACCCAATTTCAACAGTCTGGGCAAGTCTAAATGGCAACATCTGCATGCCCAGCACTTCCTAAACGAGAGATTTCCCTGGGGAGGGTGGGCTGCTGCAGAGTGGCAAGGAGCAAGGAAGGAATTTAGGAATTTTGGTGGGATACAGGAACCCCCGCCAGCTGGACATCAGCTGCCAGCAGAGCTTGTTCCTCCCATTTGTGCTGCTGATCAGTGATTCTGTTGAGTCAGGGATGGATATAAATACTCCAGTCTTTAGGTGGATCAGAAGATAAAATAGAATAATTCTTTATTAGCAAAAATTCAGTTCTGGAAATGTGGAATTACAGCAGAGCAAGAAGTTGTGAGCAAGAAGTTGTGAGTTTTATAGTCTCACTGGCTAAGCTGGGACCTGATTGGGCTCAAAGTAGGAACACCTCACATTATTAGTGATTATGAATAGCACACTGTGGAGAACCATAACTACAAACAATGTTTACAGAGAGAGAAATAAGAATTTTTAATTATTTTCTTCTAAATAAGAATTAAACAGAACAGAATTATCTCTGTTCTTTCTCCAACTGAGTTAATATCCACAGATCAGCTCCAGGCGATCTCCACAGGCTGCAACTCCTCTCAGCTAAGTAACACTGACATCATTTTCCCCCCAAGTACAGTAAAATCACACTTGTTCAGTAGCAGCAACAGACTCCTGTGGCAGCACAATGTTTTGTTAAGATTTTTAATTAAGATGATTTGGGAGAAGATGAGCCCCAGAGCAGACAAACATCCAGTTTTGTGCCTAAGTCTTGACGGTTTGGTGCAAAAGGTGAACATTGAGCAACGGGAAGCCTCTTGTGAATTCTGCTAAAATAAATGGGGATGAAGCAACACTTCAGAGAAGCGGACCCCTTCTCTGGGGTCACTTGATTCCTGTCATCTCACCTTCCCCAAAAGCCTCTTCCCCTTTCTCTGGGAAAGAAGAAACTGCCGGGCTGCGCTCTCTCTGCCTCTCGCTCTCCCCCTGCTTCTCACTTTCACTCCCATGGGTTTCACGTTCCCTTTGCCAGGCGGAAAACCTCGCGGAGCTCCGGCCCGCCACCAGCACCACCAGCAGGAGGGCTGATCCTGGTTCCACCCAGCGGGACTTTCCTGGCTTCCTCCAGCAGGGAGCGGGGGGAGCAGGAGCGCTGGGAGGCAGGAGCGGGGCCGAGCGCTCCCGCGGCTCCTGCCGGGTTTCTACTGTAGGCGGTGCATTCCTCGGGAGGGAGGGAGGGAGTGCGTGCGCCCGGTGCCTTCCCACACTCCGCACTGCTCTTATTTAATGGGGGTCTCCATGCAGGGCAGGCGCCACAGAAGGTTTGGCGGTGCCCGGCTCCCCTCGCAGGAGCCATGGAGAGCGCGGCGGAGATGGGAGCGGAGGCTGCGGGCAGCGCGCTCGGAGTGGGGATGCGGCTGCGGCAGGACCTGCGCAGGATCCGCTGTGCGCTGCTGTTCTGCCTGCTGGCCGTGCTGCTGCTCATGCTGCCCATCGCCTACCTGCTGGTCGGGAACCTGAGAGCGCCCAGATCCTGCGGACAGGTAAGGCAGAGCCGAAGGGAGGGATGCGGGACTCCAGGAGCCTCTTCAAAATGCAGTTTTATTACATCCAGGGTTGTGAGTTACAGAGCCTGTGCCTACAGCCATCAGCTCCAGCAGCAGATAAGCCTGGAGACCCTTAGTTTAGGTTACAATGCATTCTATACTTTTCTTTTGGTTACAATGCATTCTATTCTTTTGGTTACAAATGCATTCTACACTTTTCTTTTGGTTACAATGCATTATATACTTTTCTATGCTGAGCATCTTAATACACTAGAACCAATCTATACTTTAACTTTTTTTTACCTATAGCTACTATAGCTCATAACTACTATAGCTACTATACCTATAGCTCATAACAACTATAATTACTATATTTGTGTTACTGTTCTCCAGTCACTAAAAGTCAGTACATTACAGTTTAAGCTAGAAGTTGTTTTTAAATTTTCTTGCAGTGGAAAATTCTGAGACCTTTTTTCTACTTGCAACTTTGCTGACTTGTTTGCCTGTGCTATCTTTCTGCTTGGTAAAAACATCTTCTTGCTTGAGGTGGGTTTATCCTTTGCTCTAAGTCAGAAAAACCCTTCTAACTAACACATCCTTTGCCTCCTTAGTTAGCCAGTAATTCTTTTTTCTATATCAAAACTTGCTTCCATCTCTATTCCTTCTTCAGATCCTACATCTAAAAATCTTTCTGCTAAGCATACATACCTGTGAGACTTTCTTGTCAAACTTCCATCCTTCCCAACACCTGGGCGCACCTGAGCGCCGTCTGCACCTCCCAACGGAGCGTCCCTGGAGCGCTTTAATTCTCTTTGTGAATTTCTCCAGTCCGTGAAACATTTTTAATGCTCTTTGTGACTTTCTCCTGTCCGAGGGCACATGTGAGACTCGCTGTTGCATTCCTTCTTCCTCACCCCGAGGATAAATCTGATTATTCCTCATTCTTTTTGAACTAACGGTTCCTTACTTTCACTGTGGTCACAAGCAGAGTAGATGGCTTTGAAACTTTTTTTTGCTGTGCTGCAGAGAATGCTTAAAAATCACTGATTTCTGCCAGAATTTTGATGCTATGGCTCATTTTCTTCCCTTGTTTGGGGTTAAATCTGGGACATGACACTGCGGTTTCCCTTGGCAGTGACTGATTTCAGGAATGCATGACTTTAAAACTTTTTGCTGTGGTGCCCGGAATGCTTTAAAAAAATCACTGATTGGTGGAAATCACTGTCTCTGCACTGATTTCTGCCAGATTTTTGATGCTATGGCTCATTTTCCTCCCTTCTTTTGGGTTAAATCTGTTACTTCCTTGGCAGTGTCTAATTTCAGGAGTAGATGACTGTTAAACTTTTATTGCTGTGCCGCAAGGAATACTTAAAAACATATCACTGATTTCTGCCAGATTTTTTGATGCAATGGCTCATTCTCCTCCCTTCTTCTGGGTTAAATCTGTGGCTTCCCCTCACAGTGTGTGATTTCAGGAAGATCTGCTGATGTCAGTGGGTCAGTCATCCGTCACTGGGCTGACAGCTACAGCTCTGGTGAATAATTAATTGTTATTAATGTGAACTTCTGATTTGAGGCATTTAAGGGAGTCTGGCGCTAAACTTCACATCCTGTTTTTAACTCCCCATTAGAACTTTCTCTCAGTCCAGGGCTCCTCTCAGCTCTTCTCCTTTGCCAGACTTTGCTCCCAGCCGTACAAACTTCCATGCTGCTCCATCCCTCCTGCAATTCCCTATTCCCATGGGATGCTGTGAGCTCAGTGCTGTAAATTGGTGAATTAAGCTTTGAATTTTAGCTTCAGGTCTGAAATTCCCCAGTTAACCAGAAAGTGGGGGGTGGTTTTGGGTGGCCTCAAAGGCAGTTTGTCCACTGGCTTGAGTTTAGCCTGGGGATGTTCAGGGAGGGCAGAGCTGCTGGTGGCTCCCAGGGCTGTGCTGGCCCTGCTGGGACCCCAAGGCTGCTCTGCCCAGGTGATGCTCAGGGTGCAGCATCCTCTTCCTCACTGGGTTCTAATCTGCTGCAGCCCCTCAGGCTGGTAAATCTGGCAGTTTCTTGAGTGATGCTGCCCTGAGTGTCACTGCTGTCGGTTCCAGGCTGCCCTGCCTGCAGGTGCCACAGCACAGATTCCCTCAGGGGCTGGGCACGATCTCAGAGGATTTGGGGACCTTCAGTTCTGGAAATGTGGGATTACAGCACAGCAGAGGCTGAACGTGGAGGAGCTTTGAAAGCTGGGCGCTGCTTGAGGTTGGGGTGGTAAAATTCACAAGGTGGTTTGGGCACTGTGCTGCTGCTCTGGGTTTGTTTGTGTCCCACCAGAGAAGAACAGTTCAGTCTTGAAACAGTCTTGGAGCAGAAGAATAATCAAATGTTAATTTGTTTAATCAATCCAATGCGTTCCTGGATTGTGACCTCATTGGCAGGGTTAGCAGAGAAAAGTTATTTTATGAGTGGGTTTGGCTCCTTAAGAGGAAAAGCACATCATAAACGGTTGGAATTGCAATTCTGGTATGCATTCCCATGCACCTGCTCCTAATTAGCAATACGTAATGTTTCCACAATGATGTTACGAGGTGATAGAGGAGTTACAACCTCTGTGAGTCCCACGGAGGAAGAGGAAAGTCATCGGGGCTGGCAGGGTGCCCAGGGTGCTGTGGGAGGAGCTGCACCTCTGCTGGGCCCTGCCACAGCCCGATTTTCATTCATTCTGCTGCTCTGTGTGCCCACCGTTCCCTCTGCTGCTCTCTGTGCTCATCACTTACTCTGCTGCTTTCTGGGCTCACAACTCATTCTGCTGCTCTCTGTGCTACTCTCTCTGCTTCTTTCTGGGGTCACCATTCCCTCTGCTGCTCTCTGTGCTCATCACTTATTCTGCTGCTCTCTGTGCTGCTCTCTGAGGTCACCATTCACTCTGCTGCTCTCTCTGCTCCTCTCTGGGGTCACCACTCCCTCTGCTGCTGTTGGTGGTCATCATTCATTCTGCTGCATTCTCTGCTGTTCTCTGTGCTTACCATTCCCTGAGCTGCTGTCTGTGCCCACCATTTCACTCTGCTGCTCTCTGGGGTCATCATTCCCTCTGCTGCTCTCTCTGCTGCTCTCTGTGCCCACCATTCCCTTTGCTGCTCCCTGTGCTGCTTTCTGTGCTCACCTCTCATTCTGCTGCTCTCTGTGCCCACTATTCACTCTCTTGCTCTCTGTGCCCACCATCCCCTCTGCTCCCTGTGCCCATCATGGTTGTCCAGCAGGACAGCACACAGGGTGGATGTCTCTGCCTGTGTGGCTGCCTCTGAATGTCCCAAGGAGCCATATTCCCCCCAGGAGCCTGCAGGTTCACAGAGGTTCAAGCCCTGGGAATATTTCTGGGCATAAAAGCTCTCAGGAAAATGTCTTTTTGCATTTCATTCTGCATTCAAAGCTTGCTAAATGGCTCTGTCCTCACGTGCCCCACTGACAGCTCAGGTCAGGAGTTTGGGACCAGCCATGTGTGGCAGAGCTCTGTGGGGCACTGGTTTGGGCTGTGGGTGCCCTGGGCACTGTGGAATGAGGGGGCAACCCCGAGCTTGCCCCAGATGAGCATTGGCCTCCTGACCCTTGCACCCACGGGAGGAGTCCTCTGCTTGCCCCACGGAGCTCTGCCCACACACAATTGTCACCTTCCAGTGCTCTGGGGACAGCCTGGGGAGGAGGGAGGGACTCAGCAGGTGAGGAGCACATGGAGTAAATTCCTGAGTGCTTCCTGGAGCCAGGAAGAGAAGGGAAACCTGGCCAGGTTTGTGTAACAGGGGAGTGTCCCTGGGCAGGCTGCCCACAGGGCGAGGCACCTTGGTCATCCCTGCCTGGCCCTGGTGTCACCTGGTGCCTCTGAAGGGATGCAAACTCATCCCTTTCTCTGGAAATGTCCCTTTCAGGAAAAAGCAGGGCAGGTTATGTCATTACAGTGACATGTGTGGGCTACCAGTGTTCTCTGTGTGTCATGGTGCAATGGATGAATAATTCCAGCCTGGTGATGGTTTTCCCTGGACACCTTCCAGGCTTCCTCCATGCTCCTTTGGGAAAGAGAAACCACTTTCTTTTGTGCTTCAGTCCAGAGGGAGGAGAGGAAAAGAGGGTTTTTGAAACCAGGACACGTGGCTTGTGCTACTAGCAGGAAATCTATTTTAAGGCCATAGTGGTGCCCTGCTGGAGGAAGGGCAATCCTTCCTCAAAGGGAAGCCAAGTTTCAGGCTGAGTTCCCAAAACCATTGATGGAAGGGCATAGGAGAGCAGCTCTGGCTGCCTCAGCATCCCACTCAGCAGAGCATCAGGTCCTGAGGCCTGGAGGAGTTGGTGTTTGGGTTTATTTTTCATGGCATTCTCGGTGCACCACAAGCAGCATAAATAGGAATTCCAAACCCTGTCCCAAAGGTTGGACATTCAGCTGTGTGCCAGGTCTGTGCCATGGCAGCTGGCAGTGGAGAAGGGACCTGCTGCAGAGCAGGAGGAACTGGAAAATCCCAGAGGCTCCACCTGGATCCTGCTGGAAAACTGGCAACAAACCCCAGGAGAGATCTGCCCTCATGGCCTGCCCATAAAGGAAGGAGAACCTCAAAAGCTTCCTGATCTTTGGGGAAAGAGAAATACCTGGGGAGGAGCAGTAAGCACACCTGGATGGGCCCAGGTGTTGGGATTCCCCCTCCAAAGCCAGCACCAGTTAAATCCTGCTGCTGGATGCAGATGTTCCTTGTGAGCACATGCCTTGGGTACAGCCTTCGACTGGGCAGCAAAGTGTTCTGATTCAAACCAGTTTTTACCGGCACAGAGCAGTTCCTGCCAAAAATTCCCAGCCCAGGCCATGCAGCATCTCTGAAGTTAGAAAAATTTGGGTTTATGTACTCTGCACATGGCCTGCAGAGCCCCTCCCTGTGAAACAGGGCTGAGATGGAGGAGCTGGGGGAATTCATTCAGCTCATCAGTCCCTCTGCCTGCAGAGCCAGCTGCTCTTGCCGTGCCATTGATATCAGCCCTCCGGTTTGGGTTTAGAAAACCTGGATACAAATGCCCTGGGGCTTTTTGGAGGTTTGTGGGAGCAGAAGTGTTCAGCACCCAGCAATGCCCAGGGCCATTAGAGCTGCCTGCCCAAACATCTGTGAGTCAGCTCAAGGGGGGTTTTCAGCATCACTCAGTGCTTGGGCTCTCCACAGTGACCAAAGGGAAAATTGGAGCTGTGAACTTTACAGAACCACAGCTGAGCAAGAAAGGGAAAAGAGAGAAAAGCACTGATTGTGTGAATGTTCTCTGCACTGGCTCCTGCTGCTCAGCTCTCCCTCCCCATCCATGCACAACAGCTGTGCCTATTTCTGACATCTGGCCATTATGCAACATTGTCTGCTGCTAAAACATCTTCTGCAGGAGATTTGTATTTATATTTACACATTCATGAGATAGCACAATTAGGAAAAAAAGAACAGCCATACCTTTGCCAAGCAACAGAATAATTTCACACCTTGCTGTGTCCCCCTGCTCTATCTGCTCTGTCCCATGCAGTTCCTGCACCTGGAGTTTCCAGCTGGATTTCTTAGGAAACAAGTAAATTTAGGTTTAAACAAAACCTTTTTGTTATCTTTTATGAAGAAGCAGAATTCTTCTTGCTCTCCTTCCCATTTTCTGCCACCTCTGTTTGGATTGCAACATCCAAGTTTATACAAGGAACTTCAGCAGAAGTTAAGCTTTCAAGTATGTAAACAGTTCCACAGAAGTTACATTCTTAAATATAGGTTTGGGATTGATTTTTTCCCTGCCTGCAGAATCCTTAGAGAATGGGATCACTAATGAGAATTAGTCACTTGGGAAATAGGTAGGAAATGCCACACTGGGAATGTGTAAATATACTCCTAGGTGAATACACCTGGCTGAAAGCCAGGGGAGAGTGAGGGAAATCCTAAATTCTGACCTTGTGCTTCCCACCAGGGCAGGGGACAAAGGCTGGGGCTGAGTCACATCAGCAGGGTTAGTCACCACAGAGAGCAGGGCCTTGAAACTCCTCACACACGAGGAAAGGCTCAGGAATCTCCTGCACAGCACAGCACCAATGTTCTGGAAGTTCACCCAGTGCCACACTGGAAGTTCACACCAGTCTGTGCCAGGAGGCTGCTGGGGCTGGGCCACACATTTCTGTACAGGTGGGCAAGGGAATATAAAACAAAAACGAGAATTTTTCCTGCTGTTTCCTTCTCAATTTTTTCCCCCACCAGGCTGGAGCAGCTATTTTAGCAATGACTGTTTGCTGCAGCAGCACACGGATGTTTACTTCCAGTAAAACATTAAACTTGTCTCTGGCTTTCCTGGAGCAGCCCCCAACCCCAGGCAGGCCAGGCTGCCTCTCCTTCCACAAACATTCCCCTTCCCCAGCCAATAGAAATTCTCTATTTTCTCCTTCTCCTGCAGTGTTTGAAGCTGTGTGAGACACAGCCAGCAGGAGCCAGCTTCAGCATCTACATATTAATATTGTTCCAGGTTTTATTGGGCAAAGTGCCTCAAATACTTTGCTATGAGCTGACCAGGGGTGGTATATTCAGTTTATTCAGTGTGGTTTTGGTGTCTGCCCATAAAACACACCGTGCCAGCCCTGTGTGCTCCTGAAAGATGTTCTGGGGTGGGGGTTCCTGACAACCCTGAGGGTCAATTCCAAGGGTCAGTCCTGTGGGTGAGGGCTGAGGGTCAGTCCTGAGGGTCAGCAAAACCCATGCTGCTCCAAGAGCTGCTCCTCACAGCCCTGAGGCAGCATCGCCAGCACACCCCAGCATCCCTAGAACGCCCAGCTTCCTCAGCATCCCCCAGCACCCCCCAGAATCCCCCATCATTCCCAGCATCCCAAAGCATCCCCATCATACCCCAGCATCCCCCACCATACTTCAGCACCTCCCACCATCCTCCAGCTTCCCCAGCATCCCCCATCATTTTCAGCACCCCCCACCACCCCCCAGAATCCCACAGCACCCTAAAGCATCCCCAGCATCCCCCAGCACCCCCCATCATCCCCCACCATTCCACACCATCTCCCAGTATCCTCAGCATTCCCCAGTATCTCCCAGCATCCCACATCATCCCACAACATCCCCCAGCACCCCACAGCACCCTATGGCATCTCCCAGCAACCCCCAGCATGCCCAGTACCCCCAGGATCCCCCAGCATCCCACACCATACCACATCACCCCCAGCACCCCACAGCATCCCCAGACCCCCAGCCTGCTCCCTGTGCCATACCCGGTGACCCTGGGGGCACAGCAGGTGACTCAGGACACCGAGTGTGTGACAGGCACAGCCCCTTGGGCAGGATCCAGGGCTATGTCCTGCCTGAGGCCAGTGGGAGTGTCCAGCTCCAGGAGGGAATTGCAGAGGAGAGGAAGGATGAGCCTTTCCCAGTGCAGGCTCCGAGCAGCAGAGCTCACCCTGCAGCTGCTCCCTGGCTCTGCTCAGCTCCTGCTCCCCTGCAGGACGCCCAGAATTCCAGACAGACCTAAGGAACAGCCTTGGTCTGGGTGCAGGACAAAAGGCACCTGACAGGGTGGACAGGAGCAGGACAAAAGGTGGAGCTGACCCACCTCAGTCTCTCCTGGAGTTGTGGGGAACCTTTGCTCCTGTAAGGGCTCAGACCTGGCTGCCTTGAGGAGAATCTGTCCCTTTGCTCTGCTTGCTGTGCCTGGATTGAGGGCAAGAGAGGCTCCAGCAGGGCTGGACAGTCACCATGCATGGCTGGGTCACTCTGCTGGGGTTTGTCCAGTTCAGAACCTGACAAACCCCCCCAGTCCTGGAACCTGTCAGAGATGAGGGCAGCTCTAAGCCAACAACAGAAATGTCTTGCAGTGAACAAAGATTCATCTTTGTTCACTGCAACTAAAGGGCTCACCTTTTAGCCAAACTGTTCCATCTGAATTCACTGATGTTTGTTGGGGAAGATGAAACAGGAAAGCCTTATAAATATGATTGTCTGGCAAAAGCTTTTGAGAATATAGAAACTATAAGAGAGATTGAAATGAAAGCAAGCTTTGAGATACTTCAGTTACTGAACAACTGGAAAACAATGGTGTGGCCAGCTGAAGGTGATCCCCTTTAGATGGAACAACACCCTCTGCTTGCAGACAGGCCCAAGGGTCAGAGCAGACCCTACAGCTTGGCAGAAGGGGCCCAAAGAGGAGTTTTTAGGGTTTAAATGTATCACGGTATGGTAATGTAATGATTCTTATAGGCTGTATGTAAATGCTATAGGATTTGTATATTGTACTAAATTAGTTAGTGAGAATCAGAATATTCAGCACAGAAGATTTATTGTATTGTAACGGGAACCTCGCTCTCTTACCCCTTTTACTCTCTTACCCTCTCATCTTCTCTCTCTCTCTCACCCTCTTTACCACTGTCTCTCTTCTCTCAGCCTGCTCTGAGCTGTGTTTGGCAGCTCCCAGCAGGGCCCTGCACCCAGGCCCTTTGCAATAAACCCCAAGTTCCAGACCTGGCTCCAGAGATCTCTCATCTCCGTCTGTCCCCACGGTCCTACCCCCCGACCCTCTGACAGATGTTACTGCAGCTGTTCCATGTTCTGGGCTAATTCCCACAACCCCTCTGAGCTGATTGCTGTCCCTGTCCCTGCAGGTCACAGAGGAGAGGGGCTCTATCTTCCTGAAGCAACGAGCACTGGCTGCTGGTGAGTTTGCCACCCTTTTCCCTGTGGTGTTGCAATCCCAGCACACCTCTGCCCTCAGCACCCCAATCCCTGCCCAGACAAGCCAGGCAGGGCACACTGAGGGAGATAACAGTGGGCACAGTGAAATGGAAACTTTTCTAACCCCAGGCTGGGAAAGCTGTGCAGGCACAGCTTCCCCCAGAGCTCTGCAGTGTTGGGGTGTTGTGAGGGTCCCCAGGAGGAGGTGAGAGATGAGAATCTGACTCCAACTTCTCAGAAGGCTGATTATTATATTATATTATGACATTACATTACATTATATTACATTATATCATATTATATTACATCATATCATATCATGTCATATCATTATATCATATTATATTATATGAAAATGCTTTACTAAACTATACTAAAGAAATAGAAAAGAGTCATCAGAAGGCAAAACAAGAATGAGTAATAAAAAACCTGTGACTGACCAGAGTCCTAACACAGCTGGACTGGGATTGGTCATTAAGTAAAAACAATTCACGTGCTGGGTAAACAATTCTCCAAATCACATTCCAAAGCAGCAAAACAGGGAGAAGCTGAAGCTTCCCAGCTTCCCAGGAGAAGAAATCCTGGCGAAGGAATTTTTCATTAAATATCACGGTGACACTGCAGGGTCAGTGGGACTCCCTGAACAAGCACCAGCAGAGATTTGGGAGCCTCTGCTCCTCACCCTTCACCTCTGTTTGCCTCCAGCAGTTCAGGACACAGCCACAATGTGCCCTGCTGGTGCTGCAGCAGCTCTGCCAAACTCTCCTGTTTGCATTTATCACCTCAGGGGGGTCAGTAAGAGTTCAGCAAATCGTCCCTGACTCAGAAAGAGCCTGCACATTTCCTCAGGGGAGTCAATTACTGTGACCGTGTTCACAGGGTTCTTGGACTGGGGAAGAGATGAGGATCTGACTCCATGTTTCAGAAGGCTGATTTATTGTTTTATGATATATATTACATTAAAACTATACTAAAAGAATAGAAGAAAAGGTTTCATCAGAAGATTAGCTAAGAATAGAATAGCAAAGAATGATAACAAAGGTTTCTGCTTTGGACTGTCTGTCCAAGCCAGCTGACTGTGATTGGCCATTAATTAGAAACAACCACATGAGACCAATCCCAGATGTACCTGTTGCATTCCACAGCATCAGATAACCATTGTTTTCCTCCTGAGGCCTCCCAGCTTCTCAGGAGGAAAAATTCTAAGGAAAGGGTTTTTAATAAAAGATGTCTGCGACAAATCACCACTCATATTTTGCTGACTTAGGAAAGGTTCTGCCCCCAGAGGGTGCTGGCACTGCCCAGGCTGCCCAGGGAATGGGCACGGCCCCAAGGCTGCCAGAGCTCCAGGAGCCTTTGGGCAGCGCTGCCAGGGGTGCCCAGGCTGGGATTCTGAGGTGTCTGTGCAGAGACAGGGGTGGGATTGATGATCCTGTGGGTCCCTCCAGCTCAGGATATTCTGTAATTTTATTATTGAACAGCAGCAAACATCCTCACACCATTTTTCTCCCTTTTCCCTCAGTTACAGACACACTTTCCAGTGCAGAGAAGCCACGAGCTCACCTGACAGGTAATTCTTGTTCACCACTAAAGCCTTTTTACAGCCAATGTTGTGGTTCAGTAACCTTGCTCCCTGTGGGTCTGGTGGGAGCAGGTGTTGCAGGAAGCATGAGGAGCAGAATAAGCAGCTTTACCTTGTTGAGCAGGCCAGGCTCCAGTAAAGGGCCCATGAAGGAACAGCTGACAGAAATGTCACTTTTCTGAGCGGTTTCTTTCACTGAACGACCATGGAATGTAACTGAACTGAAACAGGTACTTAATGTCCCAGTGATCTGCTGAATCCCCCAGAAAAGGCAGGGAAGGAGCTCATGTGAGTCCTCATGGAGCAGTGAATTGGGAAGAATTACAAGTTTTGGAGCAAAATCTGGCCAAATCAGGCTGGTTTTAGTTTATTTTTCTGCAAAGCCTGACTCAGACTCCACACACACCATATTCCCATTAATCCTCTCCCCTATTTTCAGTGAGATAATCTCTGACACATTTCAGAGCAAGCAGGGAAAGGTAATGCCAAACTGAGCCCTCTGAGGTTTTATGTCGTGGTAGGAAGGTGCCATCACAAAGTCCTGTCACAGAGTGGGCTGCCAGGTGTTTCCAAAGAGTTGTCATCCCTTTCCAAGAGGTTTCCAGTCCTTTCCAAAGAGTTATCGTGCCTTTCAAGGAGTTTTCCATGTCTTTCCAAGGGTCTTCCGTGTCTTTCCAAGGGTCTTCCATGCCTTTCTAAAGAGCAATCTTGCCTTTCCAAGAGGTTTCCATGCCTTTCCAAAGAGTTATCATCCATTTCCAAAGAGTTATCATGCTTTTCCAAGAGTTTTCCATGCCTTTCCAGGAGGCTTCCATGCCCTTCCAAAGAGTTATCATCCCTTTCCAAGAGGTTTCCATGCCTTTCCAAGAGGCTTCAGTGCCTTTCCAAGAGGCTTCCATACTCTTCCAAAGGTCTTCCATGCCTTTCCAAGGGTCTTCCATGCCTTTCTAAGAAGTTTCCATGCTTTTCCAAAGGGTTATCTTGCCCTTCCAAAGGTCTCCCATGCCTTTCCAAGGGGCTGCCAGCATCTCCAAGGTCCCCATGTCACCACCTCAGCCTTGAGACCATCACCACCCCAAGGACCTTGCCCTGAGATATCCCCCACCCTCACCACCTCCACCCACATGCAAAATTTAGGTGTTCCCAGAGAAAAGTTCCTGCCTGGCTCCAGTGTGGATGGAGTGAGTGCCAAAGGGTTTTCCAGCTGGCCTGAGGCCTTTTATCCCTCTGCAAAGCACAGCTCACTGCAGAGGCTTCCCCAGCACCCCAGGGTGCACTTTGTAACCTGAGGATGCAGGAAATGCTGGGATGTTTCTCTCGTATTTCCTGCAGAGATCCAAATCCACCCCCAGGGCTCCATCACTCTGCAGCTCAGGGCTGATGCATTCCCAGCACAGTTTCCTTTCCTTGATTCAGCAGCTCCTTCCTTGGTGCCTTTCCCTTTGCCACGGGGGTTTCTGGAGTTCCAAACCTGGCTTGGCCATAATCACAACTTTGCTCAATGCCAGTTTTAAGGAGCAAAACCTTGCCTCTGTGAGGTTTTGGTTTTTTAAATCCCCCCTGGCAGAGAGGCCCAGAGGCTCCAGTGACTCAGAGGAGCAGCCCAAGCTCTGCTCTGCTACTGGGAACTTCCCTGCGTTGCACAAAAGCCCAGCTGCCACAGGGAAACACCCAGCAGTTTTCTTCACATTTCTCCAGCCCTCATATTTACAAAAAAATTCCTTTGCTATCATTCCTAGGCAGCCTTCCAGGGTCTGTGTCCATCCTCTCTGGCATTCCACTGAAGGCCAGTCACTGCTGGCCATAGAAAGGAGCAAGAAAAGGGGAAACTTGAGGGAATTTTCTCTCTCCTTTCTGTGCTGTGCTTTGTAGTCATCAAGAAACCCAGTATCTATGGATTTTCTTTGACCTTTTTTTAACCTGAACATATTCCTGGTGCTTCTCACTGTGGCAATGATTTTACCAGCTTAACAGCACTTTGCAGGCAGAAAATATTTCCTGTTGTTTTCAACTCTGTGCATAATAATTTCTTGGGCTCCACCCTGGTGTTCTCTTCTCAGAAACAATTACTTGAACACAGAAAGTGTAAAAGGAATAATTATTCCCTGGTCTTTGTTACATTCCCCCACCTCAGGTGTCTTTTTCAATGTGAAGGTGGCAGACTACAAATCCTAAACTACAGGAAATCTCTTCCACACCTTTATTCTGACTTTTTCTAGTTTTAGGCACATCTGTTTTGAAGGTGAGAGCAGAGGAGTGAGAGGAATGAGAATTGGATGGAGCTCTTTGGGAATGCACTGATTAATTGGCAGTAGCAGAGCAGCTCCATGTTTTGGTGTCTGTTCCTTTATGATAAATCTTCCAGCTGCTCTTGGCCTTTTTAACTCACACTGAGAATTTTTATTCACCCAGGCTGGAATAGAGATCTCCCCTCCCTGATGGCTTTCCCTACTGAGATGTGCCAAAACCCAGCTCAGAGTCCCCCTCCTGTGCATTAACGTTCATTTGGGGCTTCTCCTTGCCTTGTCATCATCCCCTCCCCACTGACGTGGTTGGGTTTGGGGTCAGGATTCAGGGCAGAGCCTGTTCCTTCTTGTCACCAGCCTGTGGCACAGGGGATGGCCCATTCTGCAGGACCTCACGCTCCTGATGCTGCAGTGGTCCCAAACCTGGCACCTGGATCATGCTCTTCCTCATTTTAGTCCCAAACCTGGCACCTGCCTCATCCTCCAGCTCATTTGGTCCCAAACCTGGCACCTGCCTCATGCTGCTCCTCATTTTTTCTCAAACCTGGCCCTCGCTCATCCTCCAGCTCATTTGGTCCCAAAACCTGGCACTTGGCTCATGCTCTTCCTCATTTGGTCCCAAACCTGGCGCCTGCCTCATGCCCTCCTTGTGTGGTCCCAAAGCCACCTCTAAATGTGGCCAGAGCTTCATTTCTGCCTCCAAATCACCTTTATTAAACCCTCAGGGCATGAACTGGAGCAGCAGAGGACACAGGACCTTGCACCACAAGGGCTTCACAGGCTTCAGACTCTTGCTCACTCAGAGTTCAGGATTAATCTCTCCCATTGCTGCTGAGAACTGCAGAAACCCCACAAATTCAGTACAAAACAGATCCCAAATCTGACAGGCAACAGGGATTCTCCAGCAAGGGACTGAGCCAAAAGGGATTTGGGGACAGGAGAATTAAGGGATGCCAGAAATTTATAGTGTGTGAGAAAACAGAAGGAACTGTGGCAATGAAGCTCTTATTAAAAGCAGATTTTAATTTCTTTAAGAATTAGCATCATAGGTATATTTGCAGGAAGTGGAGCTCCAGAATTTAGGAAATAAATAAATAAATGACAAGTACAAAGTACAGCTGCTGCTAGAAAAGGAGCTGTGCTGTATTAAAAAGCACTTGAACATTCATTTTATTCTCCTGTTACTGAAAGCATGGGAAAAACTAATTAACTTGAAAATAGAGAGCATCAATAGAGGCAGATTCATCCTAAAAGGGAGGTTAAAGCTGTGAAACCTGACTAATTCTGGAAGTCAGGAAGTCCTGTAGTTCATTTGAGATCTTATCATATTCTATAACTAATAAAATCTATTTTATAACTAATATAAAAATTCATTGTGGAATTGAGTGTCATTGACATTTTAAATCCATCATTCTACAAGAAAAGAATATTTCACAGGCAGCTTCTCTTCAAATTCCCCCAAAATTCCAGAGATGGAATAGAGCCCAGGACATTTTCTGGAAGTATTCTGGTCTTTCCTCATCTTTCCCACCTCAAACAAGATTTCCTCTGTGCCCTGAGATTAATTGCTCTGAGCTCTTGCAAAGCTTGGAGTGACCCAAAGCTAGCTGAGCTTTTCCCAGGATTCAGAAAGTCCCTGAATTGAGGGATGATGCATTGAGGTGGATGCAGATGAAGGCAGACCAGGAGCACTTTCACTTTCTTTTATTCTTTTATTCCCCATTCCATTGTCTCTAACCTTTATAATAATTCTATAATTTAGCTTTCCTTGCTGCCACAATCCCTGTCTGTCTTCCCCATCCCTGAAATACTTTCCCCATCCTTTGCTTCCTGGGAAAAGATCAGAAGGATTTGATAGTTCAGCACTTAAAAAAAAAAAAAAAAAAAAGCTGTTATTCTATTGTGCTACCCAGAGAATATAAAAGGAATTGCACTCCTAACAGTTTCCTGTATCCTCATGGATTATTTACTGTTGGAAAAGAGGGAAACAGATGCCACTAGGACATGAGCACATTCCTTTTTCTGAGTCTCATTTCAGGATGGACCTATTGGTTATTGCCAAGGGAATTCCAAAGCCTTCCCTCACCTGCATTCCATTACCCTCCTTCCCATGCACACACCCCTTTCCCCAAATACTGAATAAAAATCAGCTTTAAACATTAACAAGCTCATTAAAAAGGTCTCAGGTCCTGGAACTCTGTTCCCCCAGTCTTTTCTAAGCATCCATCATTCATTTTCCAGGTTCATTTCAATACCTGAGATAATCTTCATGGTTTTTATCCTCTTCTTCCCACTGCTGCTGCTTTAGCACAACAATTCCATGTGGCAGGCAGTAAAGAGCAGAG